TGAAACTATATACTTATTTAAAAGAGGGAAATTATGCACTTGAAGAAAAAAAATTTGCACTCGAAGTGTGTGTGTGTGTGTGTGTGTGTGTGTGTATACACACACACACACACACATAATACGGATCAAATGCGAAGGATTCTGAAAGAGAAAAATAAGGTGAGATCTCAACCATTGATTAAACTCAGATCTCACCCATTGAGGGGACATGAGGCGGGCGACCCGACCATCTTATCCGAAGGACAGTCGGTGTCGACCGTATGGTTGGCTTACCGGGGGTATATCTCTCAATGCTTTTTTTAAAAAATGCGGTGGTATTTTCGTAAATAATTGAACATCGAAGTGCAAATAAAATGTATTACAAGTGCAAGTAAAATGTATTACAAGTGCAAGTAAAATATATTACAGGTGCAAGTAAAATTTACATTGAGCATTTGAGCATCAATACTAAGTGCACCTTACGTTATAACTAGTTGCAACTAACGTTATAATTAGTTGCACCAAGGTGCACGAATGTTAACAAGGTAATTACTTGCACTTGTAAGTGAAAATAGGTGCACTTGTAAGTGATTTTACTTGCATCATTTACTTGTAAAGATGTACCAGCTACTTGCACTTATAACACATTTACTTGCACCAAAGTTCGAGTTATTTACGAATGTCAACGCGTCGTTTTTTTAAAATTATATCTGATTTGTTGATATGGACATGTGGACAGCTGTAAATGATTTTTAATTCTTTTCTAGGCAGCCGTTCGCATTGGAGGGTGTCCATATATATATATAGAGGGATGCACTCAGGTGCAAATAAGTGCTCAGGAGAGAAATGCGAACGAATCAGCGCGCGACACGTGTCCAGATCTAATAACTTAAAAAAAAACGCGGTGGCATTTTCGTAAATAATTGAACATCGAAGTGCAAGTAAAATCACTTACACGTGCACCTACTTTCACCTATAAGTGCATGTAATTTTGCCTTGTTAGCATTCACTTTTCGCAAACATTCATGCACCTGGGTGTGCTTATAACTATCTGTGCAACTATTTATAACTATAGGTGCAACTACTTATAACTATAGGTGCATCTACTTTCACCTATAAGTGCATGTAATTTTTCCTTGTTAGCATTCACTTTCCGCAAACATTCATGCACCTGGGTGTGACCTGTGCAACTATTTATAACTATTTGTGCAACTATTTATAACTATAGGTGCATCTACTTTCACCTATAAGTGCATGTAATTTTGCCTTGTTAACATTCATTGATCTGAGTTCAGCGGGTAGTAATATCCCTGAAAACCACTCGCAAACAATCATACACCTAGGTGCAACTACTTATAACTATGTGTGCAACTACTTAGAACTATAGGTGCAACTAAGTATTGATGCTCAGTGTAAATTTTTACTTGCACCTATAATACATTTTACATGCACTTGTAATACATTTTACTTGCACTACGATGTTCAATTATTTACGAAAATACCACCGCATTTTTTAAAAAAATCAGTGTTTCTCATCCATTAGATCTGGACACGTGGACGAACAGAATTCATTCCTATTTCGCGTCTGGGCGAAGCATTCGCACCTGAGTGCGATTCTATATATATATATATATATATATATATATATACCCACATAGACGTACAACATTACGTGTAAAAGATAGCATATACATTACAATACAATGTAGAAAGTTTGTACTTTAAAGCGGTCAAACTTTACATTTGGTCTTTATACAAGTCGATAAAGTATACGGTATAAGGTAGCAATCAAATGGGAAAAGCAGTAGTGCTACTATTGAATTAAAGTTGGAGAAAAGTAAAAAAGTAGAATTTTGGTAAACGTATGAATTTTCTACGAAACAAAAATATAAATAATTTTTTTTCCCACTAATTTGAAATGTTTGTCGCTTCCGACAATTCAAATATTTAACCGAGGATCAGAGCAACATTTAATGAACTGTCTGCAACGTTAATTAATTGGTGTACACTTTGTTCACTAATTCTTTGTACATCCTAAAATCTCAGTACGTACTTCCAAGTTAAAAACTGGGCATTATTATGTTCTCTACAAGTTGTAGATTGCACGTAAATCAATATGAAACACATAACAATATTTCATACTCAGATAAAGGAAAAAAAAAATAAGGGAAAATGACATTTTTTCCCCTGAGTTATATACTTATAGTATTTTTTCCCCCTTAATTATTCAAGTAGCTGTTTTTTTCTCTAAAATGTTAAATGGACATATTTACACGTAAAATAAATATTTTATTTATTTTTCTTCTCCAACAAATTATGACCATAATTTGGTTCAAACCAAATAAACACTATAGCAACCAAATCGAAATATTCCAATTACAATTTAGAATCGAAACTCGATATTTAGAGTTTATTAAAATTTCGGAACGGACGGTTCATGTTCCGAACTGAAAAAATAAAATACATTTATTGTTGAATTTAGACTATTTTTAAAATAAAAATAAAATTTTAAAAATTTTCCCCCTTAATTATTCAAGTAGCTGTTTTTCTCCCTAAAATGTTAAATGGACATACTTACCCGTAAAATAAATATTTTATTTATTTTTCTTCTCCAACAAATTATGACCATAATTTGGTTCAAACCAAATAAACACTATAGCAACCAAACCGAAATATTCCAATTACAATTTAGAATCGAAACTCGATATTTAGAGTTTATTAAAATTTCGGAACGGACGGTTCATGTTCCGAACTGAAAAAAATAAAATACATTTATTGTTGAATTTAGACTATTTTTAAAATAAAAATAAAAATTTAAAATAAAAACGGTTCAAAATCGCGAATTGGGTCCGGAACCGTCGGTTCACGGTTTAGGATCCAATTTTTTTGATTTATAATTTTAATAAATTGAAATCCAAATATTGGGTTCTAGATCTGAATCATAACCGGAAACTTTTAATTCGATTGCTATAGTGTCCGATTCAGTTCAAACCGAATCGTGGTAATCCCTACGTATACGCAATAATTTGTTGGAGAAGTAAAATAAATAAAATGTTTATTTTAAGGGTATAAATGTCAATTTAATATATTAAGGGGAAAAACCACCACTTTTAGAATAACTGAAGGGGCTAATGTGCTTACCTAAATAATTGAGGGGGGAAAAGTTCTATAAGTATATAACTCAGGGGGAAAAAGTATCATTTTTCCAAAAAAATAAAATAAATAAAATTGCACGTTTTATTTTTCACACTGCAATTGTTCCAGCATTATAAATGTTGTCATTTTATTGTAGTTATTAGACATTTTATTTTAATTTTTAATTGTTATATGAGTTGTAAATTCATTTCATCCACCAAATGAAACGTAAAATTCCAATTGTAATTCTAGTTTTCTAACGGCAAAGTTGCATTTCTTTATATATATATAAAGTTCTTTCTATATATATATATATATATATATATATATATATATATATATATATATATATATATATAGAGAGAGAGAGAGAGAGGTTTCCCGTGCCAACAGACCTTTCTATGCGGTCAAGCATCATTAGATATGCAAAAATGCACCACATGTTCAGAAATACATCAGGGTGTGGTGCATTTGTGCATTTCACCCTGGTGCATTGTTGAACACATTATGGTGCATTTATGCATATCTAATGATGAAATCAGCACGGGAACATGGCGTTTCATTTGAATCAATATGTGTGTGTGCGTATATATATATATTGAAACTTGATGTTTTAGTTAACTGATGAACTAAATTTGTAACTTATTTAATAGATAAATGACTAGATTTATAAAAATGGAAAGAAAAGCCTAAATTTTCAAAGGAAAAAAAAAAAACAATAGTAAAGTAATATTAATTCTAGTGACTTGTATTCCTAACCTAGGTAAAGAAACACAAAAGTGGAGGCATAAAGTTCTCATACATGGTCTTGAGGGTCTCAAATGATGACAACCTTGTGAAATTGTAATTTTGGATTGTTGGTGAATTTTAAAACAAAATCTAGTTCAACAAGTCATAACGTTGCTTTTAATAGAAATTTGTCTGAATTAATTTGAGTCTTGCATTCTGTCTCTAACTAATATACAAGTATAAGAAAATAAATACAGTCATAAGTTTTTTTTTTTTTTTGAATGCACAGTCATAAGTTTTTAATTATGATAATATTTATATATAAAGGCAACCTAGCTAGTAATAATCATATGGGACCTGCGTCGACCAGCTGAAATTCCAGTCGACGCAATACCTAATACGCTCAACTTAAACTATAAAGCCTATGTCTCTATAGCTTTTATCACTTTGGGATTTCCACCTGAGGTATCATGGCGTCATTGTCTTCTTTTTTATTTCTTGATTTCGAATTTGCAAATTGGAATTACTTTTAACCATGGGTAGTTCAGTAAAAAAAATCATCTATTTTAATTGTGATATAAAAAAAAAAAAAAAAAAAAAAATCCCCTTCACCATATTTGCCCATTAGGGCATTAATTAGTCCTTATCTTTTAGAACACAGCCTGCCGATAAAAACAACAGAAAAACAAAAAAATTGTTAAACCATTATACTGCACTGCCAAAATTTGTTGGCATGAAGCCATTTTCGACCACCCAATATTTAACTTCCTCTCTGGATTCTATTGCCCAAAAACGAAAAAAATATATATTTTAAATATGAAAGATTCTAACCCTAGTTACACGAGAAACCCTAACAAGACTGTATGATCAGTTCAATTGGTTACATGGGTGAAGTTTGGAAATAATGATCTGGGATTGAATCTCATCAGCGGCAGTGTGGGAGTAATTTCTCCAAATGAGGGGAGCCTTTAGGATTGGGAATTCAACCTTTTGAGAACAATGAGAAACCCCAACAAATATGAACAGTTTGATTTTATGATACAATTTTATTTTTTTATACTTGCCTACCTTTTGAAAACAATGAGAAACCCCAACAAATATGAACAGTTTGATTTTATGATACAATTTTATTTTTTTATACTTGCTTAGCAGTCTACGTTAGTGTTGGGCTACGGCTCGGAGAGTCGAGTTCAGCATCCCAATATCGGACCGTGGCACTGACTGCTATGCAAGTAAGTATAAAGAAATAAAGTTTACCTTAGCTACTAGCTATAGATTTTGACGTAGTGATAAACACTTCATTCTACAGTTTGGATGACAGGATGCTGAACTCGTTTTTCGAGTTGCACCCCAATACCCGAAGGGTGGGGACCCTTAAGGGTGAGGGGTTTTGTCTTCTTCACCCAAGTAAAAAGAAAAAAAAAAAAAGGTTTTTACTCGGTTCTTTCATTTCCCTATTTTAGTGTTTATTATTTATTTATTCCGTTCTGAAGTCTCCTCCCACAACAGCCCGGGCAGGCCCCTATCCTCTCTCCTTCCCCTTATATAAGACTCTTACACCTCCACACAAATTCACACAGACTCAGAGTTAACCAAAGAGAACACAAAACACAGCCCTCAGCTCCCTTTAGTCCTTTACATATATACACCACTCCTTACATAGAAAGAAAGAAAGATGGGTAGAGCTCCTTGCTGTGACAAAGCTAATGTTAAGAAAGGGCCATGGTCGCCAGAGGAAGATGCAAAACTTAAAGATTTCATTGAGAAATATGGGACTGGTGGAAACTGGATTGCTCTCCCCCAGAAAGCTGGTATATATATATACATAATATTAATCCTATCCTAGCTTCAATAATCCAAAACCCCCCTTTTTTTTATAAGTGTATGTGTGTTTATGGGATTAATTAGGTCTAAAGAGATGCGGGAAGAGCTGCAGATTAAGATGGTTGAACTATCTGCGCCCCAATATCAAGCATGGCGAATTCTCTGATGAAGAAGACAGAATTATTTGCACCTTGTACGCCACCATTGGAAGCAGGTGCCTTTCTTTCTTTCTTTCTTTCTTTTCTGTGTTTTCATTTCCTGGGTTCTAAAGATCTGAATCTAAAGAAGCTTTTGTTGCATCCCCCAAAGATACCCAATTTTGTCAGCACATCATCTGGGTTGATTTTGTTCCATCCATAAGAGGAAACAACAATACAAGAGACCAGACACCTACATGCACCAAATCTCAAACTTGGTTTGTTATAGACTCCTAGATTTCTGTCTCCATGTCCCTACATGCATGCCCAATTTCACAAGTCTCACCATTTCTATACAAAATCTTCAAGATAGACATAAATTAAAGCTGCACTTGAAGTAGTTCATCCCCCACCTTTTTTTTTTCTTGCTTTAATTTGTTTATATTATATTATAATCCGTATTGGGATAGGGACCACGATTTGGTAGATGGGTAGTTTTCTTTTCATGTTTTGGAGATTATTTTCCGTACTAAATTTGTAACAAAAATGTGAATAATGGCAGGTGGTCAATAATAGCAGCACAATTACCTGGAAGGACAGACAATGATATCAAGAACTACTGGAATACCAAGCTTAAGAAAAAGCTTATGGGGATGATGATTTTCCCGTCTTCTTCCACCGGTTACAATAAGAGGAAATCGCCATTGTTTCCGGCGACCACTATCACTCCTTCTACGGTTGTCCCGTTTCAGCCTCCGCCGCCACCCCCGCCGCCGCAATCCATATTTTCTCTTTACACACCGACTATCCGGTCCCCATTTTCCACCCTGGATTCCCTGTCCTCAATCCCAAATTTCCTGTGCGATAATAATAACACAATTTCTCTGGGGGCTCCCAATAATGGCGCCTTCCATCATCAAGGACAAAACCAGGGTTTCTTGAACCCCATGCAGTATACTAGCCCCGCCAACAGTAACCCACATTTTCTCATGTTCGGCGGCGGCGGCGGCGCCGAGCCCGCCAGTGGCTCCTCCTCCTCCGACGGGAGCTGCATTAAACCAAACCCGCCGGAAATCATCAAGCAAGAGCCCGACCTGCTGGGGAACTGTTTCCAGGCGCAAATCGTCTCCCCTCCCACTGCAAACGCTTTCTTCGACGTCGACCAGATTCAAACCCAGAAATTCTTCGTCGATTACACCCACCACGTCGCCGCCGCCGAAACCCCGCCGTCCGACGAGCACCATTTCTTCAGCAACGGCGGACATTTCGCCACCCCCGGCGGCTCCGCCACAACTACTCCTACTCCTCCTCCTCCGCCGGTGAATAACAACAACAATCAGGTGCAATATGACCTTGAAGTTGTTACGCAGCTGGTGAGCAGCGGCAATAATGGCGGCCATGAAAGCAATAACAATGACGGGTTCTATTTGTTCAACGATGAAAGCAAGACGGATCATGAGAGGGGGATGTACTACTATTACTACAACTGATCTCATCATAAACAGTACAAATATCATAAAGATTTGCAGAGAGCGATCCAGCGGCGAATTGCATGCAGATTCATACATATTTTCGAGGAAGATCAATGGGCTTTCTGTTCTTGTATTAGCTTAGCCAGTTTATTTATTATAATGAGCATTGAATTAAATTCCCACCCCCCCCCAAAAAACAAAAAAAACTTTGTTCTTCCTTAATAATATACTCCTTTCAATCTTTCATCATGTTTTTTTTTTTTTTTTTTATGAGTACAACTGACTCAATCTTTCATCATGTTAAGATGTCATATATGTTAAGATTTTGTAAGAACGCTCATTGTACCTACAATCTGATATGAATTCTTGATCTGATAAACTTATGGTGTGTGCTGAGCCATTGAGTCATTTACATATTCCCAAATGCTTTGTCTGGTGGGAGTGTGGGGCCTTGGGGTTGGAGATTCAACATTTTGGGAAAAGAAAAATGTACAAATTTTCATAAAGATAACATTTTTTTTTAAATGTTTCTACGGGACTTAATCGACATTGTTAGGATCTGCCTAAAAAATTATAGTTCATAGTGAAAGCGCGCATAACTTTATTTCTTTATATACCACAATCACATCATCCCTTAGTCATCAATTGATGGACTTGGCTTTTTACCGGTCTCGGTCCATGTTTGTGAGCTTTCATTTGATTTTTGTACACGTTAATACAAACAAAATGTTATCAATTGATTTTACTTAATATAAGTTTTATGTTTTCCGATGTCTAGACCATCGTACAACTTAAATATTGACGTTAGTTTCTCATGAATATCTATTTTTGATTTGTTTTCAGAAATTGATTCTAGCTTTTTAATAGTTTAAATTTTTGGTACGTCTAGTGAAGAACATGGTGGAGGAAATTGACGTTATTATGACAAGTTCAATGTAAGTTGTCATCAAATAATTAACCTGGACCAATGACCTTATAGTCTAGTGGCACGAATTGACTTTCCCAAATGAGAAGTTATGGGTTCGATTCCATCGTAATAGAGTCAGTGGTACTCAAACAATAATTAAACTGGAAATTAAAGTCATCAACTTTGATCAAAATTTAGCCAATTTGAACCCACATTTTTTTTTAAATAGTGAAAAAGAAAAAAAAAAAAAAAAAAAGGGACTAAGAGCTTTTATATGTGTGAGAGGGTGTATATGTACATGAGTGATCAAATGAGAATACGGTACTCGATAAAATGTGTAGGCAAATCTCACCCATCTATTTAGGTTCATCAAGACACACACCAATGGTTCATTTGAGAGTAAAATGTTATGGGTGATTGAATTGTATGCTAGTTGATGGATATATTGGGTATGGGCTCGGGGCACTAGTGTATAAAATTGAATAAATGACGACCATCCATTTTGTCTAAATTAAATGAAAGATTATAGTTTAGGTGTTATTGGCTTCTTGAATCCATTATATTAACATCAGGGCATTGTTGACTTTTATCTAATCTTTAACGTTTACAATTTGCCCAATTGTATACTTTTACGATTATAATGTTTCATTTTTTGCAGAGTTATTTCAACACATACAATGCATTTCTTTCATATATATTATGTACATCTAGTTACATAATTCACTTTTATGCTACAATATAGTGCACTTTTATAACTAGATTTAACAGCTTAGTTAACACAATTTTGATATGTTTTTTTTTTTTTTTGGGTATTAGTTGTGCATTTCTTTAATTTACGAGAAAGTCCGCAACCCTTAGTTGCACTGTACAGTTAGATTGTACATTTACATTTCTATATTATATGTTTTTTTTTTATCAAGTGAGATTGAGATTCGGACACATGACCTTTGACATGGAATTAACTTTGATACCAAATTTAAAAATGTGTTCAATCTTAACTAAAAATTTAAGTTGATTGTTGAACTATAGTGATCTGTTCTAAATTTTTTTACACTAACATCCTCGCAAAAAGCATTCCCCATGTGAAAATTAAAAAATTTCTCAGTATCAATGTTATACTTTTAAATATAGTAAAATGTGCTTTTAAAAAAAAAATTTAAATTTATCGTTGCGCAAATTTAAACTGTTTAACAACTCGATTTGAATATATGTTATTTATCATTTTTACACCAGCTTAGCAATCATTTTGTCTGTATATTTATATTTATATATGCATGAAAACCTTAAAATTTTGATGAAATAATAATAATAATTTAAGAGAATTGGATCTAAATTAAAAGGTGCTAATAAATGCAGGTGGGGGTATATGAAAAAAGCTTGTCTTCCTTTATTTTTGTGCACTTCTTTATTGGTTTAGATGAATGATGATTTCCATGTTGGTACGGCATCTCCTTCTCCGCGAAGAAAGATGAACAGTGAACGTTATGATCAGAGAACTCAGAATGAAGTTAATGCCTTTTTCTACTTCATTGAAACCTGTACTGCCATGGAGTTGCTGCCATTATTCAGTAATAATATTGGGAAAACTTTAACAACATTCAAAGGGCTACCATCTATTCTACCTCCTCGTTCAATCACCCATCCATACAAGATTTTTTTTTTTTTTTTTTTTTAATGATACTGACTCTATTACAATGTAGTATCTGCTCATAACTACTTTCTTACCCTATTTATTGAAGTATAAATTAAAGAGTCAAGATTACCTCCATGAGAGTGCAATCTCGGTGCCACTACACCACAATGTCTTGACACGCATACAAGTTTTAGTTTAATTTAATTTTCATATACAAAAATCACCGTTTTTATTTGTCTCACCATTTTTCTTGGGTTTCAAATCTAGTCTCTTCGATCTCTTTATTATTTTATTGTTAAAGGACAGGTAAATACAATCCATTTTATTTATTAGAAAAAATAGAGAATAGATGACAGTTACAAAAATACCCTTACAAAATCTAGATACATCATAAAATGAGTTTGACGTTTCAATTAGTCGATAGACTACATATATGATTCTTTGAATAATTAATTTACTATAGATTTACCTACGAGCTAAAGGTGTGAATGAGATGATGTAGATCTTTCCCAACTTAATCATATAACTCAAGTTCAAGCTAATTAAACTAGATATTAGTGATGAATTGACTAACACTCTAGAGGTGAAAGACTTTATCAATTTATATTACTTTTTTTTTTTTTTTTTTAATATGGTGAGGAAAATTATTGAGGTATGATAAAAAAAAAAAAAGGTATAATACCTAATAAATGAATAAAAACAAACATGTATAAAAGTTAAAATTCCGCAACCAGTACTTGAGGATGTGCAGTAGGGTAAACCATGCTTGTATTTAATAGCCCGTAAGGTAAACCGCACTAGAAAGACCTCATATGACAGATTAAACTAAGAAGGTGTTGAAAAGAATCGAAATGGACTACTTAGGAATTAAATGACTAACTAATATTAAAAGTAATTAAGTATTAAGTTAAAACATGATTACTTTCTAGAGATGAGAATATTACATGTTAAACTACTACGTGGGAATGACTAACTAGATTAAAAGCAATAAAATATTAAGTTAAAACATGATTAATAATCAGTAATAAATTGCATGCATAGCTTACTTTAACGATTTTACTGTTTTTCACTAAAGTTTAATAATATATTTTATTCGTTATATATCATTGTACCTCACAATCAAAATAAAATATCATTTACTGTCCTTGGAATCAAAAAACGTGTATGGGGAGCAAGCTAATTGTCGGGAAGTAAGTAACTTTAATTTTTGAAGAATGACCTACCATATTATTTTTTATATCCCCCCTTTTAATTTAAAAATTTTAATAAATTTACGGACCATGATTTTTTGATGATCTATATGTCACATCACATATGTGAAAGAGACAATTCATATTTTCCGAAAGTGATTCCCTTTTAAATAATGTTATTTGTAAATAAAATGATAGCATTATTACTTAGGTATCGAGTGTCTCCGACATTATAATAAAAAATAAAAAAAAAATTAAAAAGAAGAGAAAAGACAGAGACAACCTCGGTCAGCAGGCGCTGGAAATAACCCAACGTTATATATATACATTCAACTTTTAGCTAATAATGCTGAAAGCTTGTCATGTTTCTTATGATACTGCAACAATCTTCTTACATACACATTACACACACCAATTGAACTATCATGTAATAGTTTGGGGTAATTCCGATCCATTCAATTTGGTTAGACGGTTAGATTGGTAATTAGAATTAAGGTTCTAAGTTCAACTTCGAGCGAGAACGGTCTATACTATCTCATTCTTTGGTTTGAACCCAGTTAGTTATAGACAACTTAGACTAATTTATCACTTTGTGATCCTTTGTTAGCTAAGGTCACAGGACATGTTTTTTACCTAGTGCACATCTATCATCGGATAATGACTGCGAATTTTTCTCAGCTCGTAACTTTAAAAAAATATCGTGTAATAGTTGAATCAAATTTGTATGCAGATTTATATTCCAAAAATTGTTGTCGTGTCACACCCACACACACAATCAGCAACTAAAAGTGGTTGAATTCCTTGTTAGGACGACTCCTCGAACAGCTAAAAATCTAACAAACGAAGTTCAATTCCCACACAATCAAAACTAAAAGCGGTTGAATTCCTTCTTAGGACGACTCTTCGAACAACTACAAATCTAACAAACCAAGTTCAATTCTCACACAATCAGCAGCTAAAAGCGGTCTATTCCTTCTCAATATACTCCTTGAACAACTACAAATCCAACAAAAGAAGTTGAATTCCCATTTGAAACATGTACTCCGTAGTAGTTAATTAAACATTTGCTTTTGAAACCCTAAAGTGTGAGCTAGCTAGCTAGTCAGCATAGGTTTTGGTAGATTCCTTCTCGTTTTCTTCTACATTGTCACAGCTAAAAGTTGCTAGCCAGGCCACCTGTACTCAAATGATTTTCCACATCTTCTTTCTTTCTTTCTTTCTTCTCCCGCTGACAATCTCACAGAGCAAAAAAAGTAATATTTTCCAAAGACCACTTTTTTTTTTTCTTCTTCTTCTTCTTTTTCTGAGCTTCCCTGCCCATGATCAAAGCTGGAGAACTGGGAAAAAATGGCTTCTGATCTTCAACGGGGAGTAAAGACAAAGAGCCATCGTCACTGTTCTCTGGCCTCATCTGTCCATCACAGGAGCAGGAAGATGAACCTATGGGTCCTCCTTAATGTACTTTGATATCATGTCTCATACTACTATCATTGTACGTATTATTGCTACTTTATTT